TTCTTCAGGCTGAACAAGCCCAGCTCCCTCAGCCTCTCCTCGTAGGAGAGATGCTCCAGTCCCCTAGTCATCCTCGTAGCCCTCCGCTGGACTCTCTCCAGTGGTTCCTTGTCAAACTGGAGAGCCCAGAACTGGACAGAGTACTCCAGATGCGGCCTGACTAGGGCAGTGTAGAGGGGGAGGAGAACCTCCCTCGACCTGCTGGCCACACTCTTCTTAATGCACCCCAGCAGATCATTCTTGGCAGCCAGGGCACACTGCTGGCTCATGGTCAGCTTGTCATCCACCAGGACACCCAGGTCCCTCTCTGCAGGGCTGCTCTCCAGCTTTTTTTTTTTTTTTAAATCCTTTTAAAAAATGGTAAGAGGGAAGGATCTTTATGGAAGAAGCGGTTACCCATTGAACTGAGCAATAGTTTCATGGTACCATCTTAAGATAATATTTTCATGGATTGATATGCACACATACTGTCCACATTCTGCTATAATTTGATAAACAGTCTTGATGTTATTTTTTTTCCTGTGTGTCCTTCTTGTCAGTGAAATTTATTTTCTGAATCCAGTGTGACGGAGGGGGCCTGTAGCAAGGCTCACTGGTTTTCATTTCACAGCATTAATAGAATGACATCAATTAAAATGTACGTTTCTTGATGTATCTATATGAAACTCTTACCTGGTTTGATATGTTCCTAGTTAAATTTTAGGTGATTATCCTTTATTACAGTTGTATGGTGAATATTCCCGGTGCTTACTAAAAGGTGATAATGCAGTGATAGAAATTTTTCGATTAAAGCAGTGAGTCCAGGAACGTCTGTGAACAGCAAACCTAGTTGAGAGGAGTAGGAAAAAGTTAACTGTTTATGGTAGGAAGTTTACAGAAGTGGAATTATTTTTTAGTGTGACCTGATGTTGTTTGGAGGAGGGGTGTTCTTTTTCCCCTCCCCTACATAATACTTGGCTCACCTTTTTTATAGGAGCAGACTATCATGTGTTGTTCTTATTACTAAATGCCAGTAATGCTAACCACTTGCTTGAGATTTGCCAGATCTCATGCTAATCATCACGGACAAACTTCACTCTGTTTTGTTCATTATGGAAATCCATCTACTTAGATTGAAAAGATTGTGGGTTTGTATAAGGCTCCAGTTAAACAAAGTTTCTGAAGCTGGAGTCCTGATGTATCCGCAGGGCAGGAGGCGCTTCTCTGGTTGTGTGGGGCAGGTAGACTTTGAACATTTATGTCCCCTATCGCTTTGATACTTTAAGGGTTGATGTGCTTTGTAGCTGTCTAAAACTGTGTCTGTGAAACTACCCAAAATGATATCCAGATGTACATGAGGAAAATGAATTTGTCTGTCTCTTGCCAGGTGTCTCCTTCTCTGGAGATATTCAAGACCCGCCTGGACAAGGTCCTGTGCAGCTTGCTGTAGGTGACCCTGCTTCGGCAGGAGGGTTGGACTAGATGACCCACAGAGGTCCCTTCCAACCCCTACTATTCTGTGATTCTGTGACTGCTGATAGTATTTTATGGCTTCTGAGTTTAAATAGCTATGCAAATACAACTTTTCTATTTAATCGTGGTTGTTTCAATGTTTGGATTAAATCAAGATACCATTCAGTTTCATTGCTAGTAATAAATATTAGTGTTTAAATGATTAATGAAAAACTGGCACCTGCATTGCACATCACAAGAACATTTTGTAGGAAGTGGCAAAGAGAAAAAAGATGACAAGGTTTCAAAAAAGATACCACAAAAGATGTTAAAAAATGAGGAAGAGGTAACCTGGAAATAAGCATTTTGCCTGTAGTGACCCCTCCAACTAAGCAAAATGAGGTTCATCTCAGCTGTCTCTGAGCAGGTGAAGTAATTCAGACTCTTGCTCGCTCCTGATAGTGATCTCTGCATCTCTGGCAGACAACTAAAAAGGCCTAGTGCACTGCTGCAGTGGATGAGACCAAATACTTGAATTGTGATCAAAAGTTTCATGTACCTCAGGACTTGTCAAGATACCATCTGTGTTCAGTCGTAAGCTTTCATTCTAGGTTTATGCTAGGATCAACTATACTGTGCTTTGTTTCTTTCCCCAGGGGAAACAAACCTTTCATTGAACTCTTCATGTTCTAAACTGTAGTGCTAGCATAAAAAGGGAAGCAGAGTGCTGTTTGGATGAGGTTTTTGTTTCCACTTGAATCTCACAAGTCGCAGGTGTGTTTTGTGGAAGTCTGCAGAGATCTGGAACCTGCCGTTGCGGAAAGCTCGTCCCGTTGTACTTGGTGGCATTTCTGCTGTTGAGCTAAGAGCGGGGGGTGTGTGAAAGGGCTCTGTTCCGCTTAGCGAAAAAAGCGCAGTTTTTAATTTCCTAAATATCCCTGCCTGTTTCAAGGAGAAGAGTTCAGGACATTCCATGTAACTTACTGTTTCGTTCCTCTGCAGGTATGTGCAATCCTCGCAATTACAGTGACACCCCTCCAACATCCAAGAGCACCGTCGAGGAGCTGCATGAACCAATTCCTTCTCTTTTCCGGGCGCTGACAGAAGGGGATACTCAGCTGAACTGGAATATTGTTTCCTTCCCTGTGGCAGAAGAACTGTCGCACCACGAGAACCTCGTTTCCTTTTTAGAAACAGTGAACCAGCCACAGCATCAGAACGTCTCTGTTCCAAGCAACAATGTCCACGCACCTTACTCCAGTGACAAAGGTAATGAGTCTAGTGTCTAAATTCCTAGCGTTTCCTCTTGTGTCTTCCAGGAGCCTTCTCAGTGCATCTTCTGTGCTTGTCTCTGCTCACTTCTTCTTTTCCCATAAAAAAGTCTCAGAAGTTCAGTCTAGTTTTGAGCATGACATAAAAAAAGCAGTGAGACAAAAGTACTGAGGAACATGGAAGATGGTGTTAAAGTGTCTGATGATCTTAGGAGACGCTGAACCACGTGAGTTTGTTACCTCTATAACTCCTTCTGTGGCACGAGGCAGGTGGTTCACATTATTTCATGTGTGCTGGCATGGTGTGTTCTTTGACTTTGAAGCAGTTACCTGTAGCTTGGGAAACAGGACAGACCAAAAACTGACTCCAAATCAGAGGTGGGCGGCTGAAACACATGGCTTCAGAGGTTTGAGAAAGCCACATGCCATGAACTGTTGTATTTGGAGTAGGTGTTTATTTTACTTTCGTTTAAGCTAGCATAACTTGAACTCTTTAGAAGAATGGTTTGTAGGAAATCCAGGATTGATAGTAAACCTGAGTGAGGTTAGCAAGATCGCTCTTTACGTTGAGGATGGATATGTGACAGACAGTCTTAAAAATAAGCAATTTGGGGATGAGGGTTCAACTTACGGACTCACTGCGCTTATTTTCTATGAAGTTTTTTATATTCTCACCTTCAGATTAGAGGACAGATTTCAGAATATTGTTTGCTGGGGGGGAGATGTGAAGCTTGAAGTAGTGACAGCAGTGGCATAAGCAAAATATTCTCTGCTTCTTGATTTCCAGACTAAACCTGAAATACTTTTCCCTGCAAATCATTACATCAGACTGAAAAGAATCTCATAAACAGTTCACGGTGGAATTGCTGCTTAATAGGGGAAAAAAGAGCATCTGATTTGTTTTATTAGTGTAATTAATGCTTTGCTTCCTTCCCAACACACACTTTAAATATTCTTAACCCCATATGTTGCTGTTGTGATGACTCTCCTATTTTATCAATGAAAGATACCCTAATTGATGGGCACACTGGTTTTCCATACCCTTGTAACCTTTGACCTAGTTACATTCCTGAGTAGGACTGCTGTTGATTAAATGAGATGGTAATGGCAACTTTTCTAATTTCCTTTAGTTAAGGTATGTTAGAAGAATAAATTAATTCCAGATCTGAGAAACCAGATGGTCAGAAAGCGTTTCATTCATATGTCTTTGACGTTATTAAAACGCTTGCTCGCTATTATGAGAATGATGCAGAAAGCCATGTTAAATGGCAAACCACAAAAAGCCCTGTGTGCAAACACTACAGTATTTAAAGATGTAAATTATACTTGGGGAAAAAAAATACACTTGGAACAATCTTGAATATATCCCACTGTACTTGGGTACTGCAGCCCAGATGGCTGTTCCCTGACAGTCCTTTACTACCATACCAACAGGATGGGCTAATGATAGTTTTGGATTAAATGTGGAATTTGAATTGCATCTCAAGGGTGTGGAGGAGTTTTGAGTTGAACAACACACAAATACATAACGCTGCAATTTTTTCTTAGTCAAAAGTCTCCTTCATTTCATTTGCTAAGAACATATTAGAGATTAGGTTAAGAGAGCTTTCACTGGAATGATGACAGTCCAAAAACAACAGTTGTATTTGGAAATAGTTACCAAGTGCCACTGGCTTTCAGGCTTCCGTAGACGCTTAGAAATAAATGTCATAGCTGTTCTTTTAATCATTGACTGTGCCTCCTCCATCTTAGTGATTGGTGAAGAACTGGAAAAGGTAGAAAATGGCTTTCAATATACTGTACTTTAAGTATCTAAATATGTAAGCCTGTTGAGAAGTCTCTTTTCTTGGTCACAGTGTAGATAACTTTTTAGTGCTCTGCTTTTCCAGAAGTCATTAAAATCTGCTTATATAAACATGGATGATTCAAGCATTGAGAACAGAACATGGAAAGAAAAGTTGGCTGCTGGCCTCAGTCAGTTGATGTTTATTGTGGTGGAAGCAAGGATAACTGGGGAATTGTACCTCTTGTGTCGGATGTTGTGTGAGCCATGGGGTGGCATTGGTTTTGATAATTTTTTTTTTTAATGCGTTCATTGGGGAAGCAGTAACCAAAAGGTGGACGGGTAGTAGGTCAAGGGCTGAAGAGCCTTGCGAGCATGGGCACAGAGAGGGAGCCCAGAAGCTGCTGGAGCGTGATGGCTTCTGCCCATGCAAAGGTCAGTCACACACTCAGGTCACTGTGGTTTGACATGTGTTAGAAGAACCACTGAAAGAGATGGTGGGTCTGCGTGTGTGTATGTGTGTGTGCATGCTCACTTGCAGTAAATACAAGCTTAGCCTACAGTGGAGGAAACTGAAGACCATCTCTCTGCCCTTCTCCCCAAATGTGCTGCTACGCTAAAGGGCAGATCTTGCAAATGGGGACGTCCTTAAGGTGACTCGCTAAGCGGTGGTCTTCAAGGCCATGACATTCAGGGATTTGAAAGAATATTCCGGTGAGTGGGAACACAGATGCTTTATGTTTTCCTTACAGTGCTGTGCCTCCTCCATTTTGTGGTTTTTCCGTGGCTCCTTGCATGCTTCACTCCAGCATGGTGCTGGTAGCAGCCTTATTGCATTGCCTGTAAAGGGAGAGGGGCTAATGAGAGGTGGCTTTTGGTAAGGGGACAGTAGTCTCTGTGCTCTTTCTGGAACGCATCCCAACATTTGGAAAGGCTCTGCCTATAAATACCCTTTGTCACGCTGTGTAACACAGTTCTGATTTTAATTTCGACACGTGTTTGTGCAGGGGTCAACATTAAGCTGGTCCAGAGTGCCAGACTTGCTCAGTGCAGTTCTGGGTGAGTGCCAGGAGAAGCAGCACCAGCCACGGAAACCCACGAGCTTTGTGCCCGAGCGGCGTGAAGCCACTGGCCCCGGGAGGGCGGCTGTGGATCCGGAAGGAGGTGGGGTGCGGTGGGATATAAAGCATTCCTTTCTCGCCCCAGCCTACTGCGAGCCCAGCCACCAGACCTTGAACTTCCCCGTTATTATCTTAATGAGTGTCTTCCCTTTCCTCCTGTGAATTGACTTTTAACGGTTTAGCTGCCAAAGCATGCGTGCGCTGCTGGAGCTGCTGCAGTTCTTCATGTCAGTAGTTTCTGGCATTTGAGCTGCTTGTGATGAGCGAAGACAGGATTGTGATGATTATTAATCTAGAGCTGTATTTATACTTTATTCTTTTTGCTTCACTTTTAGCTGATATCCTCAAGAGCTCTGAACTGCGAGTTCAGATGTTTAAATAAGCTTAATGGTTTCAGATGATGACAGGATGTTGGCGAGAGAGAGAGAGGGGAACGAGATAATCTTTTGGCAAGTGATGAAACAAAATCTGTGTTGTAGCAAAGCGTTTCTGATTTACGCTGCTTGATGACACAGGGGATGGCGTCTGCTCTGCAGTTCTGCTCCCCTCCAGTTCCAGCCAGGTAGAGGAGAGCTAGAAATCCAGTCAAGTGCCATCTACCTCTGTAGGTACTCTAGGAAGAATTTGTTTGTTTCTTTCTTTCTTTTATAAGTTCTGATCAGCATAAAATAGTATGGCTGGTGGATGGACAGTTACTTTTTTAAAGTAGTTTTAGAGCTACTGATAGACCAGCAGACAACTGAACTTACAGAACACCTTTGACTTCAAAGGTGGCATACAGGGAATTGTCATTAACTGGGAAAGTTTTTTCACTTTGTAGGTAGGCATTTTTCCTTAACTTACAAGAACTGAATTGTTTTATCTTCTCCAAGTTGCTAAATTCCCCCATAGTGCAGCAAGACAGATCTCTCTTGCAGCACAGACAGTATCATAGCAAAGCCTAATGGAAACATGAGTCCATTTCCTCTGGTCATTTTGAACTTAGACTTGATTGTTGTTTCTCCTACACAACCTTTGTTGAATATGAATTGAGGGGGGAAAAAAGGTGAGAAACTCATGTTCTGGGAAAAAAGAATGCTGCTGCCACTTTCTCCCTCCCCACACCTGTAGTCTGTAGTTCTTATTGTGTGAAAACTGGCAAAATGCAAATGAAAGAGCTGTTACTGCACAAAGTAACATCCTTTTTGTCTACACTGAGGGAGCCAAGTGATGACTATGTAATTAGGTTCGTGGAGCAATTTAAATACCCTCCCGGAGTTAGGTATGTATTTTTTCCCCCTGTGTAACTCTGTTTCTGCAGCCTATAAAGAGGGATTTAAAGTGACGTGAGGAACTCTCCTGCCTTCAGTAATTAACGTGACGTGAGGAACTCTCCTGCCTTCAGTAATTCAACATCTACGTGGGCACACAGACACTGCTGAGGGGGGGACCAGGAGTGTCCCATGACGAACAAAGTGGTCGCTGGCCAATCTGACTCATTCACACCTGGCAACTCTCGGAACGAGCGAGACTTCAGCAACAGTTTGCTGGGGTATGCATGGAGCGTGTCCTCCAGCTGCCTACAAGAGCTGCTGGGAACCAGCCAGGTCTACTGCTGGCTCTGGCCTGCCGTATGCAGTCTGTCCTCTCCCCTTTGCAGAGTTTTTGGACTGGTCCTCTAAGACCTAATCCTCTTGGATTGTGTGCAAGTGGAAATAAACTTTCTTTTCCACTCTCCAGTCGGTCATGGTTAATGCCCTTGGTTGTTGCTGCCACCTTAATAAGGTTGAGGTCTGGCTTTGGTTCCCCGTTTTGGTCCTGGGACAGTGGTCAAGGAGATCAGTCTCTCCACTCTCACAGGGCCCAACTGCTGCCATCTGGTTCTGCCAGAGTTACGTGCCTGGTGCTGCCCATCTTCCAGTCTCCATCCCCCTGGAGATATCTTCACTCCTGCAAAGTGCACCTCGGTGTTACTGCTGAAGAAAGGCTGGTGCCTCCAGCTGGGGTGTGATGCAGAGAGAACATGCCAGGCTGAGTGGGTCCCCATGGGGAGGGAGCTGCTCTGGGCATTGCAGTCCTCTGAGGAGATGATGCTTGAAAAGAGGGTCCAGCAGAAGTTGTCTTTGTAGTGAAGAGCTACGTGGTGCCTCTGTGTGGGTCAGAACTACTGCAGAGATTCTCAGCAGTGCATTGAAAACTGGACGCTGCTGCTCTGAAAACAAGAGGAACAGCTGGGACTGGGGGCCTCCTGCTACGAGGAGGAGTAGAAGGAGAACAACAGCCTTCAGGTGGACCAAGCCTGGACATTGAGCCCAGCTGTCGGAGGAATAGCAGAGGCGAGACTGCTCGGAGGGGGTGCCAGTCAGAGCCACTAGCTGCTCAATAAAGCATCCTGCTGCTGGAGGAGGAGCAGAGCTTGGTTTGCTTGGGATGGCGCTGCCGGTTGTGCCCATCTGCTGCCATATGTGTGCTCCGCTCTTCGTGTTACATTCCACAGGCTGTGCCTGTGTCCTGAGCCACCAGCGTACTGCATACGTTGGTTGGATTCCACAGAGCAGCAGGCAGGAACTTCAGGCACAGGTAGTCCAGTGTCATTGATGTTTGCATCCTAGAAATCACACACTGCTCTTCCACAAGAGTTTTATTTCAAGTTTCAGCAGGCATAAGCTGATGAATAAGCTGGTACCGTCACAGAGGAGGCTAACACAAAGGTGAAGGCAGGCGTCCCCTAATGCAGATGGGACTGGTCGTTCTCTGGTGTCAATACTGCAAGTGCTGGGAGCAGCTAACCCACCTCAGTGTGCCCAGCCTTCCTGACTGCCTTTCCTGACCTACTGGCTTTCCTTTGCGTGTTGGAAGTCAGAGTGCAGCGATCAAGGTGATAGCAGTGAGCACTTCTAGCCACGCTTTGGAGAGGACTCCAGATTCTTTAAAGAGTTTTTCTACTGTTGTCTAGAGAGAGCCATGGGTCATTATGCCTTCCCAAGCTGATCCGGAGACTAGGTCAGTCAGGTGGAGATGGCATCTGAAAAGCTGATTTTGCAGCAAGAAATCTTTCTGGATTAGCCAGGATTGCCTGTTTTGAGGCAGAGGCTGCGTGCCTCCAGCTGACACCTTCTACGACTGACCTTACTTAGAGCATTTGAGGTCAAACTTGGGAAGAAAACTACTTAAAAGGGATCAAAGGAGTGAACTGCAATTAAGCAAGAGGGTACAAAGAGTATGAATGCATCTTAGAGGGGCTTCTGTAAGGTTCCTGTGCTTGCACACCAGCGCTGAACTGGATGACTGATGGGACGCTGGTGCTTAGATCTCGTGACAAACACTGCCTGCAGACTCACCTCTACTTTTTCACACCCTACTCTTCCACTGAAAGCCTCCTGTGAGGTGTCGATGGGACAGATACCTGGGAATGCTTGGGCCTCCTGAGAGTGGAGGGTGTATGCTCCCTCTTGGGACGCAGGCAATCTTAGGTTTTTGTTGCTGGTGATGAAATGTGGTCAGCTCCTTGAGCGTTCTCAAGAACAAGATGGAGCTGCTGTGGGGCACCTAGGTGGATTCTTGCCTATGAGGGTGTAGTGGCTGCATATCCCTACTGCTATCCAGCTTTGTCTGAGCACTTCAGGTATATACCTGGCTGGTCACTGTTTACTTGCACTGCTGTAGCATACACTTGTGTTTTGCACTTTTTCCCTCCCCTCTGTGAATAAAGTATCCTTACTGAAGCTGCAGAGATCTTGGTTGGTTTTCGGCAGGGGTTTTGTTCTCTGAGAACTCCTCCTCTGGTTGCTGTGCCTCCCGGTTTATTATAAACGGTCATAGAAATTACATGTGCCAAGAATGGGACAGGACTTACACAGCCACGGTGTATTTTGTTGACATTCCCAGCAGTACTTCAGTCACTCCATGATTTCTTGGACAATTGCAGCGTTACTCACAGCACAGCGTTCCTGGGAGCAGGAAACTGCTTCAGCTATGGGTCTGCACTTCGTGCCCAAGATCCTTATTGCCTCTTGCACTGGGTAATGTGTCCGCAGGAAGTGTGCATCAGTTCAGAGCCTGAGCAAGGCAGGTCATGCTCTCTTGCTTTTACTGGCCTGGCAGCATGTCCTGTGACCCTCTTGCAGCTGTTTAGGTAATAGTAAAATAGTTTGACAGTGACCAGGGTTCCCTCACACGTGTTTTGACAAATGATAATTCTTAAAAAGGGTAGGCAGGGTTTCCAGATGTCAAGGAGGAGGACGCGTCCATGGAAAAGCTGGCAGGTACACTGTGCTCTCCTCTGTGTTGTGCTGTCCCTTGCTGTGTGCCCGTAGAGATCATCTGTTGTTGGTGCTGGGGAAACTGACTGCATAGATCTGATGGGGCTTGTAGGGTGGCAGAGACCCTTGCTGGCCTCAGCTCACCCTTGGACCTCACCTTAGGAGCTTGCCATGAGACGTGTGTACTACTGAGGCTGCTAACCTGTGGGGCACCGGTGTTTTGAAGGGGAGGCTCTGGTGCACCCCAGCCTCCCAAGACTTGCTCACAGCTGAGAGACTGAATAAACCCTATGGCTAACAACTGCTCCAAGAGTCCTTTGGTTACTCGCCCGTCTCAGTATCTACATAATCATTCAGAAAAAACCCCACTGTCTTGATTTACCAGTTACATTTGGATTATACTTTTTTTAATCCACATTGGAATGTAGGTCGGTATGTTTCTCCTGGATCCACGCACTGTAAGGAGTAATAGGCTAGAAAGCCCCGTGACATCCCCCGCTCACAAATCTGTCTGTTGTGTGCAAGTGAGACGTGCACGTTTGCAGATGGCTTTCAGTTGTGCCTTTCCCCAAAGCCTGCCAAGTTACGCTGGGGGCAAATGTGATGCAATCAAGGTCCTTTGGAGGATGAACAAAGTTACGGTGTAATCACCCTGTCAGCGCAGAAGGAAGTTGGTAGAATTTGTCAGCTTGGAGATCTGGAAGTAGACTAGGAAGGGGTGTTTTTGTTTTACAGTTGTGGTGAATGCTTCAGGTCCAGTTTGAGGTTGCAACACCAAAATTCATGGCATTTCAGGTAATTGCGTGGATGTTAGAAGAATAAAGTCGACACTTAGGCGGAAGAGGTTTCTTAACCTTAGTAGTAAGGCTGGTGGTGTTGCTAAAAAAAGAAGAAAAAAGTACACAGTTTCAAGCTGAGGGAAACGTGATTCTCTAGCTCGGTGATTTAATGTGGCTGAAGAATACTGTCAAGTTGTGGTGGGGGAGGAAATGTTTACACATAAATAAGTAGGTTTTGGTGTTTTTTAAATAACTTCTCTAAAACAAGTTTTATCTGATAGCATCTAGTAACTGCTGGCAACTGTGGAAGTGGTATCTTGGTGATAAAGATGTTACTTTCAGACGACACATGCTTGCTGGTTAATTTGGCATAGCCCATCCTTACGCTTTAAAAGGTATCCCTCATAACTGGGGGACACAAAAAAAAAACCCCAACAAAAACATTCATGCTGGTGATTGTAGAAAGAAATTAATCCAGAGGCAGAGCAGACAGCAGGTTGAATTGTAGACACTGACAATGTGAAGTGGATAGATCGCACCTTGGGTCTCTGTCTCCTCTCTCTGCTTCCACTGTCACCTGCTTTTTAATTCCTGCCTCATAGTCATGATGATTTGCAACCCTACTTCAGAAGCTGCACGTTTAGTTAATTTGTAACTAACCTTTAAAAATACTTGAAGACCTTTTAAACCAATTTTCTTTTCCCCTCTTGGTTTAGAACACATGTGTACTGTGGTGTATTTTGATGACTGCATGTCAATACATCAGTGCAAGATCTCTTGCGAGTCCATGGGAGCGTCCAAGTACCGATGGTTTCACAATGCCTGCTGTGAGTGTATTGGGCCAGAATGCATCGACTATGGCAGTAAAACTGTAAAGTGTATGAACTGCATGTTTTGAAGCAGGAAAATTGTAATATAGCAATACTGAGGCCAAAGTAATCTCTCTCGGTTAGAGACTGGGATTGCAAACACTGCGTTTTGGTGGAGTGCCTACTGGTTGCAATTAAATGTACCTGGCTGAAAAAAGATGTATAAAATCTGAAAACTTTTTCCTTTTTTTTTTTTTTAATTCATGTAAGCAAGGCTAACTAGTAGAAGTTTCAACACTATGTTTTAGGTTTATTTTTCTTTATTTCTGCTCGAATGGTACAGCCATGTTCATCCTTGCCGTTCTGATTGTTTTACTTTGATTTGAAAGTATTGACTATACTGGTTTTCAGAATGTAGAACTATATCTAGTAGTTTAGAGTAGGGAAACCTTAGGAGTGTGGTAATGAGATTCCCATTAGCTAAGTTCAACAACTAAATGGCTGCTAAGTTGCAGGGGGTGGTTGTTCTCTAGGGACTGGGGGTTTTGTTTTAGTTTCTGGTTTTTGGGGTGGTTTTTTTACTTTATTACCTTCCAGTTTTTGAGCTTAGCCTCCTGTTGTGAAAATGGTGTTTGGGGAAAGAGAAAAATTCATGCTTTCTCTTCAGGTTCAATGCATGGGCTGTCGTGGATAAAATCCTAACTTCATAGAAGGGCTGCCCAACAAAACACTACGTACAGGACACTTTTCTTCCAAGTTTCATGTGCTCTGCTGTCATAAGTACATTGGGGCCTATGCTGTGTAATTAATATATTAAAAAAAAAAATTTCAGTCTTCTCTTAGAGACCAAAATAAAGCCCTTAAGTGCAGTTGTATCTCCCTCCTTCTGCACTGCTCTCTAGGGTTGCTTACTCCCTGAACGTTCAGTCCAGTAAAGGAAACATGAAAGATTATTAAGGATTTAATGACTAAATGAATAAAGAAGAATGAAACGACGTGAACTAGCAAGTGGTACAGGGTTACCAGTTGAGTGGCTGTCAGTAGGCGTGTTCCCATCTAGTAGTTTGCTGTGAATATTTATTCCAAAACATCATTCCCCCCCCCAATGAAATGTTGTCACTGAAGAAGGGAAGATGTGTCCGCAAGGGCAAAATTAAGATGTTCTCAGTTTAGAACATTCTGTCCATTTTTCTAAGTAAGAGTTTTAATATGTTGACAGTTACATAGCAGTTACTATGACCCAGTTTAGGTCTCCATTGATAATGGTACTAAGTACAAGGATAAAGTGTGTAAGTAGTTAATGATCAGCTTTTGGTATTTATAATGTTGTGGGTTTTAATTCCTTGAAATTGCTTTTAATGCATATAAGCATATGCACACACAAAAAAGAATTTGACTATTCATGTTTCTCTCACTCACCTCAGTCTAGAGGGATTAAACTGTTTTCTAGTCACACCTGTCTATCTGTACCATGTACAAATGAAAGCAGTCATTTTAAATTTATTTTGTTGAAAAGTTTGCCTGAATGTTTTTTTTCATTTTTTTCTCATGATACGGTTCTTTCAATGATGAAATAATAATAAAAAAAATCTACTCTTGTGAAATAACGTTACTTTCTTCAGTCTCTTTTTCAGCTGTAAAGAGGTACTTGAAAGATAAATGTTTATTGTTTTGAACTAGTGGATAATGGAATACCTTCATACTTTAAACTTCCAAGTGATAGAAAATTATAGACCTGAATAGAAAAACTTAGCTTATCATGAAGGGAGTTCTTCTTCCTGTATTTGACAATACACATTATCTTTTCTTCTACTTGAGTTTCTTTAAATGAACGGAGAGAAATATGTTAGAGCAGCTGTGACTGTTTTTAGCTGGAGGGTGATGCATCGTTGTTCTTGACCGAGACAGGAGACAGTAAGCGTTGCCGCAGGTCATTAGCATGCATCGGATGCCTGCAGTGTTAAATTATTGGAAGCATGGTGGTAGTTCAGAATCTTCTTGGAGGAAAAACAGGGCTGATGTTTCTGGTCAGGCACCTGCTGCCCCGTGGATGTGTGACATCGTCTCCATTTACATCATCAGAATTTCACGGTGAGGTGACATCGGGGTGGGGAGCGAGGACAGGCCTAGCAGTTGTCCAGGAAACACTGTGGGGAGTGGCATAAAAATGTAAATACAGTTGTCTGTGTAATGGCCTGAGAGAAGGTAGTGAGGAGGCACACTTTCTGGGACTTGCCTTATATTTTGTAATTCCTGATGTTGTCTAGAGTTTGCTGTAGGTGTTGTATGTATGCAAATGTCATACAACAACATCCAGTGTATTCTATTACAATGAGTGTTTTAAGAGGTATTTTAATAAAAAGACATTACTGGTTCATGTGTTTTCTTTCTCAAGATTTTCTCAGGACAAATGTTACCAGGAAGCATATTGTAGAAGTTACTGATCTAGGTGGATGGAGTAATACAAAGAATTAACTCTTCAGCATTTTTTTTTCCAAAACTAAAATTGTAATTTTAGGGGTTTTTTTCTTTACATAAATGAATAAAATAGAATTTTATTAATAGTCAAAATGTTATTTCTGACAAATCTAACCATTTTGGAAAGTTGTTTATGTAGTCTTACTCATTTTGCAAGAAAAATTGTAATTTATTTTGGGGGCTCTTACTTCACCTACATCTGGATACCAGCAAACCATCACCTACATAAGTGCTTTAGAATACTTAAGAACATGTTTAAAAAAAATTTCTGGCTAGGAATCTTCTCCAGGTAAAGCAGCAGACAGTTTTATCCCTGTCCTCCGGGATAGAATTGTAAATTGCTGAATTTAAAGGGAAGTAAAAGGGAATTCATATAATAAGAAATTATACAAATCCCTAGTCTGTTGGGCTTCTGACTGAGAAGGGGTTGAAGGCCTTTTGTTACTCTTTCTCTAAAAATAGAGAAAGTTTTTGTTTAGTTGCCTTGGGTTTTGTTTGGGGGATTTTTTTTTGTGTTTTTCCCCACAGGCACTTGTTGCTCCAAAAGCATTGACACCATGCCGAGAGTGAGAACAATGGCCATAATGTGATATTGCTCTCCTGTCCTGTGCATGTAATGGATTTCACATCTAGTACTTAAAAAATAAATACAAGAACACCTGCTTGTGTCTCCAATAAACGTATCTGTGGTCTCTCCAGTATCCATCCCAAAGTGATGGCTACTCTCGTACCTGGCTCCCAAGCCTCCCGTCCCGCTGCCTGGCTGGGCTGGCTTGATGTTTGCTGGCCATCGCACACTGACACACGGACCCACACAACACACAGACGCTCCAGTCTCTCCAGCCACAGGCACCCGAGATGTGCGGGCCCCTGTGACTCGTGGTCCCCTCTGTGGTGGCTGGCACTTATGCCTCCATGCACACAGCACAGAGGCCCTCTCACCCAGGAGGAAAGTTTAATGAGAAGACGGGACAGACTGTGGTGATGAGTTTGTTCCTCCCCAAACACCCTGATCCCTCCCTTTTCATGCTTTTGATCCTTCTACAAATCCCGTAGTAAGTCTTGCGCGATCCCAAAATGCTCTTCCCCTGCGTCCCAAGAGTCCCATGCTCCTGTAGGTAGTAACCCCCTAACTCACAGTGATGGCTGCCATGGGACAGCCCTGGGAGGGGCTCCCTTCTCTGGGTGCTGTTTTTGGGTCCCCCACCAGCCATTGTGCCGCTGCACTCCTTTGTGCTCGTGGAGAGGAGCGTTGATCACATTTTGCTGATCGTAATGTGTGCTGGGTTTTGCAAAAGAAACACCTGTACCAAGGTTTGCCATGTGCTTGTGGCATGACATCTTTCACCAAGCAGTACATCGTTAAACGTTGTGCTACTCACATAGCAAAACATGCTTCGATACGAAACATTGCAAAGAACAAAGCAAATCCCTTTCAGACAAATCTGTCCAAGATCCAAGGCTGCCAGGACCCAAGTTTACTTACATCCTCTTCGTTGCTTAAGTATTTTAAAATTTTCTTCTTACTGCAAAGATCTTGGAATGGTGTGACTCCGCAGCAGTGCACACGGTAGCCGTATAGGCAGAGTTCAGTGTCCTACAGCTTGTGTGGCTCTCTTCTGCTGCGCAGTACTTCTTACAAATAGCGTACTTCTTCCCCTGACTTCTAGGCTTTCCTTTGTGTATTCAGGCTCTCACTGTTTTGCATGTGTGTTTCTGTGTGTGGCCAACAAGATTCTTTCATAAGCTACACCTCTTTATGACTGCTGTGTATTCCTTTATTGCTAATGAGAATTCTTTTGCCAGAAGTAAAATAGCCTTTGCGTAACGAAAGAAAAAACCAACAACATTAGCTGCGATGTTAAGTTCCATAAACCAGTAAGCCCTTGCTGTTAAGCTGTTTGTTCTGGAGGGGAGAAAGGTAAATTGGAAGTTGCGCAGTTGTGCAATGGGCTGTGGAGACAATTTCTCTGTGCTCCAGTACCAGCCGGAGTGTTTACAGCCCTCCTTTTCGCGTGTCCTCCTGCCAGCGCAGGGTGCTGCGGGGGGTGCACGAGCC